TATGAAATGGGTGATAAAGTTAACTTAGCCATATTTTGAAGTAGGATAATAATTGAGAAATGGGGTGTGGGATAGACTTACCTCCTCGTGGTGCACCCTGGGCAACGTATAATCATACGGCAAAAAAGTCTATTAACCGGCAGTTGACTTCTGACTTCAAACTACTGTATGTCATATTCGACCCCTATCACAGTACTCATCTTTCCCTTTCTGAGCCTTTGTATCTGTCTGTTTCTTTAACATCTGTGAATCACTCTTCTATTCCCCCTCCCGAATTCTTCACACTCTGATGTTCCTCCTCCCCTCTGTGAAGCCCGAAGTCAACTAAAGGGCTAATGATAACCATCAAAACGTCTGTCAGTTGTTACAAATATATAAATAAATAATTGAGAGAGTGGCAAATACCCATTGGACTAGACTATAGAAAACGGGACTCCAAAAAGTAGCACAAAATTGCATATGAATATTTTTGGAGTTCAAGAATGCTATTTGTTTAAGTGCTTTCGTACTGATTGGCGATATCACTAGCTTAGCTTAATTCGAATTCTTCAGCAGTCAAGAGCATAGATATCACCTTAGAAGGAACCTACGTTTTTATTTGCAAGCCAGTATATACATAATTATCATAAAACCTTACCAGAACAGAAAACTTGAGAAAATTTCAAGGTGGCTTAAGTATATTTCCATGGTAATTTAAAAAAATATGTGTCCGACATGAGATGAAAAATCAATTTAAACATACTTGCATCAATCTGGCCTTCTCTTAGCTACTTTAGAACTGGTAGAAGTTATAGACACTTAATAAAAGCACTACTCAAACATCCTAATTTCGAATTTCATGACGTGCTAATGACAATTTTATACGTTTCATTCATTAAAAAGTCCTAATAGCCCTATATAGGGATACATTTAAACACCTATGGTTAGTCAGGGTGTCTCGTAAAATACGGTCGAGGAGGGCAAAGCTAGGGACTGTCAATGTTCATGTCTGAGAGGTCAGAAATCGGTGGTTTAATACTCATAGAGGAATAGAGTGACAGTACACTTCGTTTATCATTAGGGTGATTCCATGACACTGCCAAGTAAAAGAAAACGTTTTCCAACTTGGGATATCACCTTCCATCTTCGGCATTGGCACATGAATAAATTTAAGAGTTGAAATTGACTTACGGCGACTTCCAACTCCGCTTTACTAGCCTCGAAATTGCATTTCAGCACTGAGAGCGCAGTTCTACTAGCCTCCATCTCCTCTACTATGGTTTCAGCAGAGAGGTTTGTCTGCGCCTCTCCATCAACCATATAACCACTCCTCCTTGATAGAGTGGGTGTAATAGGAACAGAAGAGCGACTTTTGCTGGCAACCTGTTGGTCTTGGGGATGATTTCGAGGGGAAGCGACATGGCGCGGAAGAAACCAGGAGGATCGGAGAAGCGTGAGAAGATCTGATGGGCGGTCACAGGTGAGACCGACCTGTAATTTTAACAGATGATAGAATAATTAAGTTTGCCCCAATATTAATAATAAAAAGATGACATCCATTTCTAAATAGCAATATGTTCATGGAAGCTACGGTACATTAATTAGAGTAATAACCTTTCTTCATACTCCTCCCTCCCTCCCCCCCCCTTCCCTCCTTCCCTCCTTCCTTCCTCCAATATCTCTCTGCCACTTTAAGGCGGACAAAGACTTAATAAAGATAGGAAGAAAGACTAAGGGGAATAGAAATACGGCTAACATGGAATAAGTACTTAGGACACCGGAAGGTCCATTGAGAAAAACTACAATTTTTGGAAAAAGAAAAGTCTAAAGTACTTTTTTGAATATTACCATCATTCAAATTTTGTTTCCAATCTCCAGTTAATAAAGCGTAAAATTACAGCCTCGAAGAAAATACACACTGTGACTATTACTCCACAACCCTCAAGTCAATTATGGGAAAGGCTATTGTAACCAATTAGCCTCTAGCAGAATCATTAAATATGCAGGAGATTAGTTCTATTAAAAACTCGGTCGTACTATTAAGTAGCTCTTCCTTCGTAGTTAATGCCACTTCAAATCGCTTCAATTATTACGTGATTCACAAAAATAAGGTTTCATGAAGAATACCAAATATCTAAATATAACAACCATTAAACGAAAATATACACTCATAAAACTCAGAAATAGAACCATGAATTTATCTAGAAGTACAAGAGACATCAAATTGTACTAAGTTAATACACAAAAGCTAAATCCAAAGTTGATGATGATCTTACATCGTTCCAATCGTCTAGATCTTGTTGATCATCAACTTCACACTCCTCAGCGAACTGTACAGCACTCATTCTATATCCATTATTGAGAAGATGCTCATTGATAAGAAACCGCAGAGCACGCAATTCTGCGTTTGAAGCTGGATCCACCGTCTCCCGAAAAGTCCCACACTCTGAATTTGTCGGAGTTGGGGAGGCAATCGGTTCCAAGCCTTTAGGGGCTGCAACAGAGTTATGATTACCTAAACTCGCGAGATACCTCCAATAATTGCAGATGTGAAGCGCTCCTTCAGATTTTTAATTTCTTCATTTTTTTTCCTGAGCTCAAATTCATAAACTAGATACCAATCACTCCAAGTAATAATCTACCTTTCAGTTGTTCTTCTAGAGAATTCTGATCTTCACTACCAGAACGCAGATCGGCCGAATCTAGGGTTGAGAGACTTACGCGTGAGTCTAAAATCCCAGAAACATCTTATACGACCTACTTATAGACAAGACATCCAACTGAGTTAATTCAGGTTTATAGAAATTCTCAGGATTTGAGAAAAAGTCCTCCAATAGACTACAAGAAATGCCACGCTCAAGTAATTCATAGTAAAATTCGAGAGCAGTTAGAAAAAATTTCCCACTGATTAAATAGTCCGAAAAAGTTAACTCCGAACTAATATTGCTTCCAGTTTTGTTTTCACCGACAGTTGTCATTTTAGTCCATGACAAAATAGATTACTAATTATCGGGGAAGTGGATATTGAAATACAAGGTAAATAAAAGCTCTCAATGAACTGAATGAAATGCATTAACCAATTAATACCTTGAACCCGGATTGTAACCTTGAACCACCAATTTTAGAAAATTTTTATCCATAAGACAATACGCATTACTATTATTAGCAAAATTTTGAAAAAAACCAATAATATTCAATGTAATATGTACCAAGTTATTTTTTCATATAAAGGTGTTTAATTCAACTGAATATCAAATGCTTTTAGATTAGTGCGAATTCAATTGACAATCATGGAAGTATTCCTGAACTAATTAATTAACATTCATTGAATTTATGAACCCTTTCAAAAGACATAGTTGGCATGCTAGGAAAACCGCTTGAAATTAATGTGTACCATATTGTTTTATTATACGGACATTGGTCTGACGAAATTTCATTACTTATTCACAAAAAAGCAAGCTTGCTCATAAAGCACAATTTTATCAAATAATATGATTTACCAAATAGAGGGTATTAATAAAGTAAAAACCTTTCGAAAGTAAATGAAAAAATATTCCGTCATAGTATACATATGATATAGATCAAACCGTTATTTAAACGAGCGTAGAAATGGCATTTCAGTCTGTGGCATTTCATCTAAGGTATTCATCTGTGCCCAAACTGTTTAAATATAGTTTCTTCCCTATAGAGGAAAAATTGACGACAAGTAAATTGTACAAGACTTATATTTTGGCTGGCTGTCGTGACTCCATCTAGGTTCATTATTGTGTCGATATTTGGATCCCATTTTGAAGCAGACTTTCCGTAATCGTAAACTTGCGTCTCTGCTACTTGGCACCCAGCTTTGTTAACATCGTTATCTCGCCGTTTAATCGAGCCAATTCTCATCCATTTCATCGGTTCGAATCACCGACCATCAGCTAATGCCTCCTCTCTCAAAATTGCGAAGAAATTTAAATTTATCTTAGTTAAATTATTGTGTAGCATTTAAAAGGCCGCTAAATCCATATAACGTTGTCGATGAAGCAAGCAATCTTACTTTATAGAATGATGATGCCGCAACTTTTCCAATCACAAATACAACTGCCTAACTATTAAAGCATAACAAATATGCTCTAGGTAATACCGATAAAATACCATAAAGAACGCCATTTGTTCATTCATGATGCATCAATTTGATCAAATGGATATGGACTAGTTTTATCTAAGACCGTTGTGGCTAAAATATTTCATGATGCTTCTAGTGCATCATTTTATGAATTCTCAAATACTTCTATTCAATCCCTTTTACTGAAGATTCTGTGGGAGCTTGAATGGCTAAATTCACCCCATCTGTGTTTCTAACCACGCCCAAACTAAATTGGTCCCAGAAATTTATTTGGTTGACCATCAACCAAATCAATGCAGCAGACTATAGGGACAGAGAGAAATTTGTTGTTCTCATGAATCACCCACTATTGTCAATTAACAATGGTATCAAAGGTGACTGGATAAAATGAATGTGGTACTGTACTTCTTTATATTCATGAACTTAAAATCTCTCAAACCGGTTCACCTTGGTCACATTTTGATCTCTAAGCGAACTGCTCTCATAAGTTTCTTTTTCACACGTTAATACAATTTTTTAACTAAGCATGAAATCACCTTTCTTATAGTGGTGCATACATATTCAAATCTTTCAAAGGTTATATCGCTTGAAAAATCACATGGTTTAAAATTTTTCGGTTTTATTTGTCGAGTAAATGTGTGGTTACAAATAAATATGATTTTATTCGTTAATTAATTTCTAGCCCTTTGATTTTATAAACAAGTAATAAATTAACTAAAATCGAATTGGAATTTTTTATCATCGAGCCTTAACTTACTAATCATTGTCTAATACACTATTACTGTAGATCGAACGTTTATTGACACTCAGCATCTACTATATTAGCTAAAAAACCCCTTGTTCCAATCTACTAAAAGATTTGTAACCTTCCGATTACCTGCCTTCTGTCATTTAAAAAGGGTAAAATAGAACCAGTCTTAATAATGCCAAGAAATAAAATTTGTTAATGGTTTTCAAATAAATTTTAGAGTACGATATAAATTTAGTTGGTAAGACTGCAAATCAACGCTAACCTCAATTTATTTTTGTTAAATATGCAGGATAACAAAATTAGATACTATTGCAATATATTGGTGATAGCACTACATTTGTTTTCAATATATTCGAGCACTACAAACCATAAAATTGAAGCTCAGAAAAAATCAAAACAGTTTAATTAAACCAGCTAAATTGACCTATGATTTTCGCCATATATATATCAAAATTCAATCAGTTATGTCATTTTAACCGGATATGGCACGTAAATAATGGCATATTATATAGTAAACATTATACACTTAAACTAAATTTTGTCGTTCTAAATAAACTTATTAAAATGAGTAAATTATGTACACAGAAATTTGTATCAAAAAACTTTCTAATATTTAAGATTATTTTTTCAAAGTCCTATCCAATTGTGTGGTCTTTTATTGCGCCATTTATATCATTGATAAATTTATTGACCTAGAGAATTGCTTGAATGTAATTCTTATACTTATCTTTGCAAATATTGAATCCATAATTGTTTTTGCTTATATGGGAACTGGGCTATAAAAATACAAAGAGTCATGTTTTCCAATGAAAACTTAAGGTCTGATTTGGATGATAAAAAGCAATCTGAAACATGGAATTTACAAACGTGTGGATTTCCACCGGCACCGCCTTTGAGATCCTCTAGTACTATGTAGGTCTGCATTAATTCCATGTTGACACCATTGCCTTTTGACTCAACTTTGATGTTCACCAATTTAGTAAGCGAAACCTAGCTTCCAGTGCTCCTTTGAAACCTCTTCCCCTGCCCCCTCGTAAACCTTCAAAGAAAGGAGGTATTCTTACAGTTTTTGCTGATTACGACTTTATGCTGATACTGTATTAGCCTGTTACAGATTTTTTATAAATTCCCAAACCTAAATTTTTGTTTATCTTTAATTTTAAATATATATCCGTCCCCCCATGTAAATGTTTTATATCCTGATTTATCTTGTCCATTTACGTCAGAACTTTCGTCCGTTACTAATTATTGTAACTTTTATTTTACTAATTTAGTGAAACTCTTCCAACTTTCCCGAAATTCAATGGATCCAAAGATTTCTTTTCCAACTAACGTTAGTCATGAACTCCATGTCGTATTTGACGCTCAAACTGGCGAATTTAAAGTAAGCCTACTACAATTTGTTTCTTTTTATTAATTGTCTAAGTACTTTATACTGTTTTATTCTTCAATATGGTACTTTCTCTTGAGACGTCTCTGTGCTTAGCAGGTGCTGCTTTTGAACCTAATTGCCTATCCAGTTGTAACTTAGTATCCACATGCCGAGCATATTTATAGGATCTCAAGCTCTCCTTTGATTTCTTTTGGTACCGCTTTTAGACTGATCCGTGTTTAACATACGATCTTACTTTGTAATACGAGAGCACATTTGTTCAATCACCCATTGAGATTTTCTGGTTAGCGCAATGTCAGAAAGAGTAGAGCTCGCCAAATTTTCTGTCCCACTGCGGCGTGTTTAACATCGCTTTTCCATTTGGCTCACACTCAGTTCTGCGCACGCATTGGGAAGCACGTCTGCACGTACTGGGGCATATCCACGTATCTATGCGTGCCATAACGTAATTGGTCATGTTTAGAACTTAAACGACCAATAAACTTTTGGCTTTTATCATGGAGAGATAGTCAAGATGAAAATATAATTATAAAGAAATATTACAATATTTCCCCCTAAAGAAATTAAAATTTTCTTATATCTCTTCTCCTTATTACTGAAATAACGACTAGCCATTATTTCTGTGTGAGTTAATGTAATTTAGTCTCTTCTGTACATAACTCGAGTTGAACTGCAGGAGGTTTTAGATTTAACAACGAGAATTTGAGTTTGCTTTCTATCTGGGAAATTGATTCGCTTATCATAAAAATCAACTGAATTTCTTTAATATTTTGCTGGGATTAATTTTTAGTGTTAGTACTTCCCATGTTCGATATATTTTGTTCAAGCTGTTGGCATTTATGCGATACCCCCTTCAGATAAATCAAAAACCTTTAGGATTATGAAGCGATTGAAGTACTATATGTTAGTCGTGATGTTGGCATGCAATTTTTCTGCTATTCAATGCGGATTTAAATTCACCCCTTTTGGGGGTTTGATATTTAAAGTATATTCAATTCTTTTTTAAATATATCCCTAATTTTGTATGCATATTTCTAACCTTGATGAACTATCGAAAGTAATATTTAAAGTGAAATCAACCTAGAAAACTGAAATCCTTGGTCTCTCTTTCTTAATCATACTTAAAATCAGGTGAATCTTTGAAGATATTGTCCAAAACACGGATTTCAAGTGGCCTTGTGGAATGGATTTTCACCTTTTCATCATCATTTTGTTGCGAAGAGATTTGGCTTCATTTTTTAGGTGGAGGATACGTTAATTTTAATGCAGGGATGAGTTTAGTCGTTTCAGTTACATATTCTGGATTGAGGACCTTTTTAAAGCACCCTAATTTTTTTAAATATAATCTATTGAAACCAATTTACAACTTGGGCCATTATTATTTTTACCATGCCTCTGTTGAGGGTCAAGGCCATGAAGTCGTAATGCCTCTAGAACTTAATAACTCCTTAATTTCGGGCATCTTCAACAAAGTGTTGCCTGTTTACGCTGCATGCTATTATGCAAACCCCAAGTGATTATCACAGGGAAATGAATATTTATTACCCAAATAAACACGCTTAAGTGCTTCATATCTTGTTTATATCTGGAGAGATTGTGTTTATGTCATTGCTCAATAACTGATTCCTGTTCAATTCTGAATAACAAATCTAATTTAATTTATGGCTAGTTTAATTAAGACCATCCACTCTCCTAGTGGACGATGAAATGAAGTGAGAAGATTTAAATTGAAGGGTATAATAAAGACATTGTGTATATGGTTTTATGTTAATTCTGAAAACATTGTCATTTATCATTTGGTATGTATTTCGCTCTGTGATATCCAAATCCACCCGATCTAAATCTTTGTCTTCCTGGGTTTTGGGGCTAGTTGGTACGGAGCTTGTTGACTGATTAGTTTAATTGAATGATTGGTCATGCCAATTCGATTTGTTTGTTTTCTGAATAGCCCATGGTAGGTGATTGTGGTTGGCAAGGTCACCTTCCGTGTTCCTCTCCCATCCTATGAATAAGATTTTTGGTAGTTTTATGCAATACTGCGATATGGTCTCACGTAGAAGAGACGTATAGTTAAAGTTGTTATTCAGCCCCGCTACTATACCTGCGTATTTATTTCTAATTGTCGAACTATTTATGGGGAGAGTATGTGCCGGAAAATCTTTTGGGAAACTGCAAAGAGGTCAATAAAAGTAAAACATTGTCAAGCTAATTTCTGACATTTAGTTTTATGAGCGCTTGTCATGCTAGTGCTTGTGGAGTTCTTAATTGCTATTTACTTCATGAAACATAAACTATCAATGTTGCTGTTATCTTCTGCCATTTAACATAAGCGACAAAACATAATCGAGCTCACATCTGAAGCAGTATCTGCGCATCGTTATATTTTAAGGGAAATGACAATTTTACATCAGATTTATTCGATTCTGTCTTTCGTTTTCAGTGCCTTTTTCTTAATCAGAGAGATTTGTCAGGATAGTGACTGGGCGACACACTGTTGGCGCTACGCCTAAACGTAAACATCATTTGATAGTTCAATTTAATTGAGCGTATTTATTGATTTTTTTATGGGCGGAGTTAATTAATTTCTAACTTTTAGTCCGAATTTTGCCATTCTCTTAAATTTAATTGTGATCGGGGGGGGGGGACCTTTAGCTCTTCACAGCTTGAGACGCTCAAGAGCATGATGTGCTCTGTTGTGGTTTAGCTAGGAAGGCGTCTAGATGCAAATTGTGAAGAATATTCGATTTCAATCGCGTTTACGTTCTTATTTGATAGCGCTTTTTTCTAGAATTCACTTTACTATTCTCATTCTGTTTGGTGGCTCTTATAAACTAATTAGCCTCCGAAAAAGTTAAATTCCCGGAGCTCGACAAAGTCCTCGAATTATCGCTTTCGAGGGTTTTTCTCTTTCACTTGTACAACTCAATATACATTTTATTTAAAAGTACTTCAACAAAAATGCTAATTTAATGAATAATTAACTATAAAGGACTAATTTAATTTTCCTTGAATTAATTTATTCACTTTTTTCCTATGCCTTCCTGCTACAGTTTATCGGCTCTGCTTTGAGCCTTGGATTCACATTTAATCTTTTCGCTAGTTTTCTAAAGCGTCCGGGATAGCGACTGTCCTGATGATTGTGTGCAGAGTAGTCGGTGGTTGTGCATTTCCAAGACGGGTAGAGGTGACATGTGATTAGATAACTTTCTGTTAGATTTGTTTTCGCTTTAAAAGTCAAAGCCGCATACATTGGTATGTAAGTGGTATTTTCTGACCAATGAGATTTGGCGTAAAGTGCAAAATTACGACAATTAAACAACTAAATAAATAAATCAAGAAGAGGAGAACTTGGCGATATTTCTAGATACCATAAAATTTGGTAAGTCATGATTGTGAATACCTGGGGGAAGATATTGATGATGGTATCGATTATGACAGATTCAATGGGTATAACCTCCAATTATTGTGAATACGAAAGAATGTCAATTAGTTAGGAGATTGGTTCGACCGAGGTCCATTAAGTCTACGATCAAAGTGAAATCAAGGGGGGCGTCGGTTTGAGGGCTTTCAAGGTCCTGGTGATAAAGAAGTTCAGACTGACGTGTATTTTATGCAAACGCTCTTGATATCGTTACTTTGGATTGAGAAACAGAATTAGAAAGACCGATTTCCTTTGGTCCATTCAATTTACCCTTGGGAGGTTAAAGGGGGTGGGGGGGGGGGGGGGGGAGGTTACCTGGAGTGTAGCTACACTGACCAGGACTTTTTAATGAATTGAAAATAGTGTTTAAGTTATTTGCCTATTCACTTCCTCCCAAGGAGTGGGCATAAAAAAATTGTCACCATTTTATGAGTGCAAAAGGGTTTGTATAAACGTTCGATATCTTTTGCCATTGCCCACTTTTATGAAAATTCTGATTTGAAGTGCTAGAAGTGAGATTTTTCCAACAAACGTTGATTCTCCACAATCGATATTTTTGATTATAGTGATTCAGTTTAGCAAACGCTTTATATCATAGGTGAAAGTGTGTGAATGAACATACTTTGTGGATGGATCAGATTATTGCATATGCTCGGCCTGTTAGTTCTCACTTCGTTTAAAAATTTTAGCCCAGGAAAGTTTTGTCTTCGACAATATATATTTATTTTGAATGGCAGGCTTTACGATATTTATCATTAGCCCTTAAACTTTGACTTCAGCTTCCCCCGTGGGTGGGGGGGGGGGTACATTTATAGCAGTTAATTAATAGCAGTTCATTAGCTGTCATCTTACTTCACAGTATCTTTGGGTTTCCGTCGTTGTCTTTAGGGCTGGACACCGAATCAGGTGGGTCTTCTCCATTTCCTCCTGTAGGTTACATAGAGGGCATGTGGGTTGAGTGTATACTCCCGATCTGTGAAGGTGTTTTGCTAAGCAATCGCGTCCGTTACGTAGTCTAAACTCAGCAACGGCTTCGATTCTTGGCCAGTCGGGTATGTCGGAGAGTGCCACTGTCCACTGTTTCTCCTTTGTTCGAGTTTTAAGTTCGTTGCACCTTGAGGTCTGGAATTATCTTCTGATTAAGGCCTTCATTGTTTGAAAAGACATCGGCCGGTCCATGCATTGCAATATCGTTGTCCCCTTCTTAGCAAGTGTGTCAGCAAGCTCATTGCCTTTAATGCCACAGTGACCAGGAATCCATTGTAGGACCACTGTTTTGTTTTTCTCTCTCAGCAGCTCATAGAGTTTTCTAAATTCCTTTATTTCAGCTGTTTTGGGTGGCTCTCTGATTCCAAATGAGTTTATTGCCGATTGTGAGTCCGAAAGTATCACCGCTTTGGCGAATTTCGTGTCGAGGCAACATAATTGGCATAGTGCTATCCTAATAGCCTCTATTTCTCCTTCAAAAGCGGATCTATTATGTCCCGCTACTGTGTAGAAAGAGAAGAGTTCAGAATAGACACCTGCACCAACGTTTGTTTGGCTTTATATGCAATACCCGTCAGTGAAGACTTGGAGTCATTGATCTCCAGGATAGTTGACA